ATGGATGGATGGATGGATATGGCTGTACCCTTTAGATCGAGCGGTGGCTAACGCCACCTAGCCGTAATACTTAGTGAACGAACCATTAGATTTGTCTTTTTTCCCTTTAAATAGTGAGGTTGAGGATTCGTACTTTGCAGTGAAGGGTTTAATTTCCACTCGTGCCTTGACTTTAGCCACCAATCAGATAACCTACTTCTAGTTAAATCTACCCGCTTGAAGTCTATTTAGCCCTCCCTGTCCCTAATCCCCAGAGCTTTGAATAACTCTACGCCTTCATCCTGAACTATAGGGTGAAGCCCTTTACAGAACATTATCAGTGTTCGGCAGTTTCTTCTTCCTCTCCAGACGCACTGCATACTGTGTCTACCCCTTCGTATTTGGATCGATATGTCTTGGTTCGCAATGTTCTCGTCCTGGCCTCAAACAGTAGAGAACTACCCCAAGTATTATCATAGATCCTTTCCTTGGCAACTTCATGCTTAAAAGTTTGATAGATCTCTAGTGCGGACTTCTTAATCATGCCAATTCTCCACATATCGGTCTCAGCTTCCTTGACCTTCTTCTTAACCAATATTTCTTTTTGTTTATGCCCCCTGCTGTTTTTCAAGTATTTACCAGTCAATTTTCTGGTTCGCTTCCGCCATTTTGTATCGCCATTCTTCATGTAAAATTAGCTGAATACCTTCCTAGCCCAACGCTCCTCCCCCATTCCTCTCAATCGCTTCTCAAATTTTATCTTGCTGCCATCTTCCCTGCTCTCAAATGATGTCCATCCCATATCACCTTGTACTCCCTGATTTGGTGTATTCCTATGAGCTCCTAAAGCAAGCCTACCTATTCCACGTTGCTTAATTTCTAATGTTGCTTGAACTTCAGATCTCATGCACAAGACCGCATGGCCGAACGTCAGCCCAAGAACCATGATCCCTGTCCATTCCTCTCACAACATCATACCTATTGAAATTCCACAGTGCCCTATTTTTCATCACTGCTGCATTCCTGTTACCTTTAGTCGTCACGTATATTTCGTGTTCCCATAGGTGATTGGTCCCATTGCTTATCCATACGCCCGGATATTTGTATTTATCTGTTATCTCTAGCGTGACTTCCTGTATTCTAAGCTCACTACCTTCGTTATCATTGAAAATCATGACTGCTCATTTTTCCTAACTGAATCTAAAATCTAACCTATCCCCCTCATTACCGCAGATGTCCATCAATCTCCACAAATCTTCCTTGTTGTCGGCCATTAGCACTATATCATCTGCGTACATTATTGCTGGTAGTGCCTGATCAATGAGTTTTCCTTGTTTGACAAAAGAGAGGTTGAAGCCCAGTCCACTTCCCTCTAATTTGGCCTCCAATCCTTGTAGGTACACCATCAATTATTAGTTAGCTCACTGCCTCCCTCAACCTGCTTAGACTTCGGACCTAATGTCTTTATCAGCATAATTGGAATGCCATCTGGGCCTGTTGATGTACTACTAGGAACCCTTTTCTCAGCCCTTTCACACCCTCGTTGTGAAAATGGAGCCATTGCACCACTTGATTCATCCTTGTCTATTGTGGTGCATAAAGAACTTTGTTGAAATTTTTCTGTCACCCTTGTTCTTATATATTCAATACCTTCGTCCCCTTCTAGCCTAGCACCTTGGGCTCTAGCGGCCTCCTGCGGTGACCTCTGTAACGGGCGAGCGCGCCATGTTTATGAGTCAATGGCGAATAGAAGGGGTACGTGGTTTTCGGGTATATTGCGCGATTTGTCAAGAAAAGAGAAAGCAATTTTCAGCTGAATTCGATAATATATTGTGCAGTTTAGGCCGCGTGCTGTGCTATTATAATTGGCTCGCGTGTTGTCAGGCGCCTTATCTACTGATTGGCCGCGTTTTCTGGCTTTCTGGCCATGCTTGAAAAGTGTTGCAGGGCCCCTTTGAAACGCGCATCCATGTCAGACCACTCGCTTTTATTAGACGATTGTTGGGTCGAACGAATCAAATGCAACATTGAATACACTGCGTAATTTCTTATACGAGAGGTAAGGCACAGCTTCACTGGCAGCCATGCCCCACCGCGGTAGTCTAGTGGCTACGGTACTCGGCTGCTGACCGCAGGTCACGGGATCAAATCTCGGCTGCGGCGGCTGCAATTCCGATGGAGGCGGAAATGTTGTAGGCTGGTGTGTTCAGATTTGGGTGCACGTCAAAGAACCCCAGGTAGTCGAAATTTCCAGAGCCCTTCATTACAGCGTCTCTCATAATCATATGGTGGTTTTGGGACGTTAAACCCCACATATCAATCAATCGGTGCACTGGCAGCCATTACCTAGATTTCGTCCTCGTGATTATTTTTTCCAAAAGAATGTTTTTCATTGTTCTTCGTGCATACCTCAGTACAAATCTCGCCAGTCATAATTTGACGCAGTATAAATTTTTGCAGGTGGTATTTTTGATGTATACCGACATCGCATCAAACAACCAATTTTATTGAAATGAATAAAAAAACAAAAGGGGATGGGGCGGCACTCGAGAGAGAGGGCACCCGATGGTCCTCGTGCTCGTGGATTCATTGGTTTTAAACCACTTAATTCTTTTGACACACAGAGGCATCCAAAATAAAGGTACTGCGCGGCCTCGTAGGTGGGTCTTATTTTATTCTTCAGTTGCAACCGTTTAGATCGGAGACATGCGCCGAATTGGCAGTGGTTGATGAGCACCTGGGTGAGTTGGGCCCTGTCGATTTGCGTATATCTCTGATAAATGATACTCGCCTCGGTACGACTATGGGCGAGCACTACACACTGCCGTTAGGCGTAGCGTTCCGTTGACTGCCTGCATGTTCACATTATCCGTTTGCAGTGGGCGCAGATTATGGCCTACCTGAAGCCCAACCGATGCTGCAAGGGTCGAGCAGGAGAATAATGCCACTGTCAGAAAGGCGTTTCGAAGGCCTGCCAACACAGTCTATTCACTCAATGGTCAAGCATGGGCTGCTATACGAAACGTTAAGAAGACCGTTGAGCCATAGTATATCGTGTCAACGAAGAACCTAAGAACTCTGTCGAAACTTCGATAGCCCTTCGCAATGAAAGCCCAAGCAGCGCGAGCTTTCATTTTCCTTCGTTGTACTCATACTCATGATTAAAAGAAAAAATGGACCATATCGCACTAAAGAGAATTATCTGTGAATGAAAAGCAGCGCTGATGTTCACTTCTCTTTCAACTTGTTTCCATTTGTGTGTTTCCGTGTAGTGTCCATTTGCGTATATGTTCTAGTTAAAGGCTTCGCTGCAAAAGTTAAGGACGAAAAGTAAAACTGTACTAACACGGACAAAGCGCCTCAAACAACAAATTTTACTGAAAACAAAAGCAAAAAGGGGGTGGGATGACACTCGAGAGAGAGGGCACTAATAGCAAACCATGCACGATCCTACCATGGTGCTATGTTTTACAGCATAGATAGCACCCCGGTAGGATCGTGCGTGGTTTATTTTCAGTGCCCTCTCCCTCGTATGTCAGCCAACCCTCTTTTTGTCTTTCTTTCAATTATTTCAATTAGATACGCTTTGTCTGGGTTAGTGCAGTTTTTTTTTTATCCTTAACTTTGCAGCGCAGCCTTTACCTACAGTATGTTCCAATTAGCCCCCGCACAAGCTTTCCTGAGTTTATATGCTGCGTATCACTTATGCTCCCTCTATTCCTTTGTTTAGTATTACCGTGAGGGTGTTTGCTGCAATGTGAACACCCAGCGCAGCGTGAAGAGTGCAACGAAGGGAGCGCGTACTATACGGGCCTGCAGCTGCTGTGCGGCGAAGAAATAAATGGGAACGGAGAAACGAACTGGAGGCAGTGCTCTGCCACCTCCTCCACCCCACCTTCTGATGCTCACGCAAGGAGAGGGGGAAAGTGCGGACGGTCGCCGAGAGACGGATACAGCCACGAGCAAAGTCACCCTCACAATAAAAAAATATTAGGCAGCATCCAGCTGCTCCGGCGGTGATTGGACAATGCTCCCCCCTGAATTGAGAGAACGCCCATTCAACCCTTGTCATGGGTGAAAAAAAAATCCAAATTGGTTGACGTCCACGCAGTGACCACCGTGGTGGGCCTCGACCCCAACACACTTTATGTATGCTTGAAACGCGGCTGCGTTTTCCCATACGGTCATTTGCAGCTGTACTTAGGGTGACTTGAGGGTGTCTCAATGCATGGGCCAGTGCTGCAGGTAGTGCGGTATGGTATAAATAACTTTAATAAAGTCCTGAGGACCAGTCCAGGACTGATGCTGGCTGCTCCCACGTCCGTACAGAGAGGGCAAGCAACTCTGCCGCCACACGGGTCCTATAGACAGCCCTGAGTTGGTCTGCCATCGTGTCACTGTGCAACATTCGCTGTACCGTGGTGTTTTCGGGAATTAGGATTCGTAATCCGCTCCTGATTGTTGGCTACCAGCGTCAGAAAACGACACCCCAAGTTCTTCAGCATGTCTTTTCAGTACAATCATGACATACAAAAATTAAAAATGACGAGGATCATACATCACCTGTCACTTGCACAGCGCCCATTCACTCAGCATGGAAAATTACTTGTGCAGTGCGGTTTTAACACTTTTTGTTGTGATTAAATTAGGTGTAGACCTTTCTGAACCAGAATAAAACGTGCGGTTCCAAGTCAGGTGCAAATAACCTGATGTCGGCACTATAACCAAGCCGTCACACTTTCGCATGATGGTATGATCAGTTGCATCTGCTGTCGACATACATTGTGTTCCACATTCGATTGCCACAGGTTTATTTATATTTTCGTTTTGTACACTTCAATCGCATCTGCAATAAACTACCATGTGCTGTGCATTTACTCACAGCGGCTCTGTCACAGACTTTGTTTCATGCGCTACAGTTTCATCTTAAGGTAATGGAAAGGTTTCAATATAAGTAGTGTTTGTCTGTGAACATACGTTTGCACCAAAATGAATGTTGACGCTTTCTTCTCCTTTCGCAGTTTGACGAGCGCAGGAACACTCACGAATTTAAGCCCACCTGTGATAAGATTCGGACATTCGTCGCTATGAACAGCCAGCCCCTGGTTGTGGAGTTGACGAAGCAAGTGAGTATAGTGGGCTTTTTCAATATGCTAGTCTGTGCATACGCAGTGGTGGTGACATGACGCACAATGTGTGTTTTTTGTGTATGTGTGTTTCGGTGATCTGCAATGAAGGCGCATTCAGTTCGGATTTAAAAAAGCCATTTTCTGCTTTTGTTTGGATTCACTAGGCAAGTATAGCTCGTAATCGAATTCATCGCATTATGCAGTTATAGCTAGCGTTAGTGCAACAGTTCGGATTATGGGAATAGCGATTCCTTGTCACAAAGTTGATACAAAGATACATATCTCGATCCCCATTCAAGAACAGAAATACTATAATTGGGCTAAAAAAACTTTTCAATCATCTCAACAGACCTGAAACTCCAATTAAGTTATGCGAGGCAATTCTGAAGGTGAACAATCATTTTCTTCATCTCTAGGAGGCACTTCACCACCTAGTCCGCAGGTGGCAATGAAAAAAACACAACAAAAAACTCAAACACCACCGAAATCACCCAACAAGCAAAGCAATATCCCGCACAACTTGCCGATTGTGATTGAGTGGACTGTTGCAATATGACAACAGGACAAATTTGCGGTAATAACAGCTGGTGCTTGTTCTGAGCTACACAAACTACCCGACAACAAGCAAACCAGAAACTCTAAATCATCTTCAAAAGGACATATATGCTTTTGAAGAAGATGTCGAGAAACTGGCAGATTAACTGCGAGATCAGCGCCTCTACACTCATCGGGACTCACAAGGACTTCAAAACTCGCACGCAGGGTCTGACAATAGAGATCTCGATCGACCTTTCAAAATTCACGACTTGCAAGCAGCCCTAAAGGGTTTGTGAAACGAAAACTGAAACTTCCCGGTTGCAATGTTCCCTGATTTATTAGGAATCGGACATACCACTTTTGAAATATTTCGGCACGGTAACAGGCGTCATTAATTCTGCAATTATTGACGCCCGTTAGAAGTCGCAGTTTTGGGGGGGAAGCATCCAAGTTGCTGAATGCTGCCGCGCGGCAACCGCACCGGTCTGGCAGCCGCGGCCAATAGCATCGCGGATGGATGGATGGATGGATTGATGTGGCTGTACCTATTAGATTGGGCGGCAGCTAACGCCATCTAGCCGTAATACTTAGTGAACAGCAATTAGGTTTATCTTTTTTTTAAATAGTGAAGTTGAGGAATGGTATTTTGCAGTGAAGGATTGAATTTTCGCTCCTGCCTTGACTTTAGCCACCATTTAGATAACCTACTTCTAGTAATTTCACCCGCCTAAAGTCTATTTCTCGCTCCCTGTCCATAAACCCGAGTGCTTTGAAAAACTCTGCGCCATCATCCTGAACTATAGGGTGAAGCTCTTTACAGAACATTATCAGGTGTTCGACAGTGTCCTTCTCCTATCCACATGAACTGCATACTGTGTCTAGCATTTCGTATTTGGCCCGATATGTCTCGGTTCGCAATACTCCCGTCCTGGCCTCAAACAGTAGAGAACTACGCCGAGTATTATCATAGATCCTTTCCTTAGTAATTATCTGCTTAAATGTTTGAAATATCTCTAGTGCGGACTTCCTAATCATGCCAATTCAGCACACTTTGGTCTCTGTTTCCTTCAACTTCTCGTTAACCGATAATGCTTTTTTGTTTGGCCCCCTGCTGTTTTCTGAGTATTTACTCTTCAATTTTCTGGTTCGCTTACTCCATTTTGTATCGACATTCTTCATGTATAAGTAGCTAAAAACCTTCCTAGCCCAACGCTCCTCCAGCATTTCTCTCAATCGCTTCTCAAATTTATATTGCTGATAGCTTACCTGCCCTCAAATGATGTCCATTCCATATCACCTTGTACTCCCTGATTTGGTGTATTATGTGAGCACCTATAGCAAGCCTACCTATTCCACGTT